GTCCTGGAACTAGCTCTTGTAGACAGGACTGGCCTTGAACTCATAGAGACCCACCTGCCACTACCTCCCAAGTGCTACTATTAACCGCAGGCACCACCACCATCTGGCTGATTCTTTTTTCATCTAATTTTTATTTTTGATTATGTGTACGTATGTGTGCTGTGTGGTTCATGTGGGTGCAGGTATCCTCAGAGGCCAGAACAAGTCATTGCATCCCCTGAGGCTGGAGTTACAGGAGGTTATGAACTTCTCAACATAGATGATGATTCATTTTGCTGATAAGGAAACTAAGGCTCAGAATGTTAGGAGATTGAATCATTGTTAAGGGACTGGAGGAGGATTTGAACCCAGGCCTTTCACCTTGTTTGGAGTTTTATATTATAATACTACTTTTTAAATCAGGGAGGAAGAAATAATACTTTTGATGTCAGTTAATACTAAAAATATAATACATTACGAACATATAAAAATTAAAAATAAATTAATATATTAAGCCCCAAAACTATCACATGAAATTGTTGAGGAAAACGGGAGATGTATGGTGAAAGAATTCTTCCCATAAATCAACAATAGCAGACAGATACCTGGCTTGGCCAAATGTAGCATTTCCCATCCCCAGAGAAAGTCTCTTTCCTACTCCCTCTTATTATGTATTACAATCATCAATTGAGAATCAGATTGAACTGATGATTTGGAGTCTTAGCTGAGTAGCCTCAGCCATATTCATTCAGATGGACACGGGCTGCCCACACATCCCTTGGGTCATTGGCTTGGTCTCTGTAGACCTTGAGGTTTACCGTGTATGCCTTTGCCCTCACCATGGGAGAGAGGGGCACGTCACGGACTCAACCGGCAAAAGTCACCATGGCGGGGTCAGAACGAAGCTCATATATCAGAGAGATCCATTTCCCATCTCTTCCAAAGTGGGGCATTATCTTCGGGGCTGAGCGGCATCTTCCGTCCACACGCTGACTCTGACCCTGACATGAAGAGTGGAAGTTGACCTTGAAGATGTGAGGCTTGCCCGTTGAGTCAGACTCCGCGAGTTTTGAACCCAAAACCCAATGCCGTTGAGCCAAGCACACGACCACGGGAGATCATCTCTGTGATTTCCCAGAAGGAGGAACTGATCTTGCGGTCCATGCACCTCCTAGGTTGCAGAGAGAACTAGGAGCAGATGCCTGTAATGTATACACAGGAAGTATTCCATCTATATTGGCTCCTGTCTTCTTTCTCCTCTCCCAAGCTAATGACTTCATGACCTCCGCTGGGGATGGAGTCTGTTTATTACCAGGAATATGAGTTGATGCTCGGCTATTCAAGGCTCTTAGGAAATCAAGGGGGTGGGGTGGGAAGGAAATCACCTGCGCTCCTACTTCTTACTGGAAGTCTGTTTCTTCGGAGCGGATGGGGAGGTCAAGTGGCTGCTTGAGCTTCAGATTGCTCCCAGGAGGAGGAAGAGGCAGCTTTATAAAGATGTGTCTGGAGCTACTGCAAACTGGCTTAAGTTTCAGCTTTCCTAAAACCACCATCAGGGTGTGCATATTTACATTTTGTACCAAAATATCTTCATGCAGTTATTAGTAACTTTACCTCCTCCTCCCCTCTGGGCATGTATGCCCTTTCCATAGACACCTGGGGTTTGGAGCTGACATCTGAGAGGCTGGCAATTCCCTCACTGGGGCGTTTTCCAGGTTTCGTTCCCACGTTCAAGCCACACCTTCCTCAGTGCTCAGAACTCAGAAATCTCACGTCAGCAATTCAACTTTTTTTTCTGTATTGAATATTTTATATTTTAATACATCTTGGCGATTACCTTTCTTTCCCTTAAAAATATATAATGGACAGCTTTATACATCGGCTCTGAGTGCTCCCTAGTGGCACATGCCAGCATCCATGTGTTCAATCACATATGTGTGATTGCATGACTGAGATTATACCAGCATACTGGGCTTTCTCAATACTACTTTCATTTTAGTTGTTTATTTCAGTTCAGCTCTCTTCCCCTAGAAACTTCATGTGTGTCTTTCTGCGGAATATCTATGTTCCTATAGCTAGTCAGTTGCACATGTCTGTACACATATATACAGATGCAAGATATACACACACAAGGGGCAGCAGGTTTTACGTAATCGGAACCATGTATTGACTTCACTACGTCTGTGGTTCTATATGTATGGTACAATATTTTTGTGGAAGTTCAGGATGTTCTTTCATTCCTTTTAATGGTTTTGTAATAGCCTGTTATGTGGATAGACCATAAACCATTTCCTTTTTTACGGGTATTCCCTTTGTCGCCAGTGCTTTACTGCTGTAAACAGTGCTGTGGGCGGCTGCTGTGCCCGTATTCCTGGGGCTTTTTACTGCCTATGAGGTGGACTGAAGATGAGCTGAGCTGGGAGGATTTGTGTAATCTAGTTTAATAGATGCTGCCAGGTCGCTTTGCCAAAACACGGAGACAACTCGTGTTTCCTCCAGCGATAGATGGATGAGGGCTCCCCGACGGGCTCTGGCCCCTCCACCTCCTCCTTCCTGCCCCTGCGCTCCTTACAATGAGTAAGTCTTAGCATCTTTCTATGTAGACTGGCTTTTGACATCTGCTTTCCTGCGGTTGGTGTGTTTGTGCTCTTCGATTATATGTAGACTGTTCGTGTCATGCCAACGTGCTTTCTGTGACAGATGTCACCTCCTTTTTGTCTGTGTTACCAGTTCTTTTCCAGATCTGCCGTTTTCTCTTTCTAGTATTTTTTACCATTCAGGTTTTTAGGGACTGGGAAGATGGCTCAGTTGGTAAAGGCTGCTGTGTTAACATGAGGACCTGAGTTCAGATCCTCAGCCCCCACACAACAGCTGGGCATGGCAGCGTGTGCCTGTAACTCCAGCCCTGGGGAGGCAGAGATGGAGGCCCCCTGGAGCTTCCCGGCCAGCCAGTCTAACTGAATCAGTGAGTGCCAGGTTTAAAGAGAATCCTTATCTCAAAAAATAAGGACAGTGATTGAGACGGACACCCAGCATTGACTGCTGGCCTCCCCATGTGTACACACACACCCGTATACATATGTGCACACACATACATGAACAAGTATACATATACCACATACTAGAAAAAGGTTCCAAAAGTTTTAATAATTACAGGAAGCTTTTGTTATTTGAAGTTTTTTTTTAAGATTTATTTATTTATCGTGTATACAGTGTTCTGTCTGCATATATTCCTGTATGCCAGAAGAGGGCACCAGACCTCATCATAAATGGTTGTGAGCCACCTTGTGGTTGCTAGGAATTGAACTCAGGACCTCTGGAACAGGTGCCGGTAGTCTTGACCTCTAAATCTCTCCAGCCCTGAAGGTTGTTTTGTTTTGCTTTTTAAAATAGTGTCTAAGTTCTCTGTCTCGATTTAAAAAGGGAAGCATGTCATGTTGATACGCATGTGTCCTGCAGTTTGCTGCTGCATAAATTTGCCTTGGAAATCCCGGGGACCTCAGAACCCAGTGTGGGGATTTTTAGCAAAGCTTGCTGAGTCCCGACTCACACCTCCCCTCAGGCCTTGCAGAACCCTGTGACCGCAGTTTCCCCCAGGCTTCAAGCCCATTCTCAGATCCCACAGCAGATACCAGTCTGGCATATTTCTCTGTCCTATCTAGCTGCTGTCTTCCTGTCCCTGCCCAGAAGCCCCTCCTCCATGCACTCCTTAAATGGAAGTCTCTGCTTCCCAGCTCTCTTCTCTACTTCGCTCTTTGCTGAGGTGGTCTGGACTTGGAACGCCCTGAACTCTCCACGCCCCTGCTCCAGACACGCCCAGTATTACAAGGTCTTTCCGGTAGTCTCAGTAGGATCCCCCACCCTTCCCTGGACAACCAACCCTTTCTCTGGAAAGAGATCTGCCCCCACTGGACTGGATTGTACAGCCTCTCTTTGCATGATCGGGGTCCAGGTCAAGTGTTTTCCCTTCAAATCCTCTACCGTTTTCACTCTTCAAGATAGCTTCCAAATATTTTGGTTTCGTGTTTAAAATCTTGCATTTATAGGACACTTAGTCTGACAAATACTTTCACACACCCTCTCACTCGATTTCCTTTTTTAGAAAAAGGTATTTTTTATTTTATGTGCATGAGTGTTCTGCCTGTGTTTGTCTGTGTACTGTGTACATGCAGTACCCTTAGAGCCCAAAGAGGGCATTGAATTCCTTAGAACTGGAATTATAGACTGTTGGGAGCCACCATGGGGTACTGGGAACTGAACCCCAGGTCCTCTGTAAGAGTTGTGTGCATTCAGTCTCTGAGCCATCTCTCCAGGCCCTCATTTGACTGTTGTGCAAGCCTATGATGGTAGGAATTGCTGTCTCCTCTTTACAGAGAAGACCCTGAGAGTTCTAGAGGCGACATCATCACCCACGGTCATGTAAGAGTAAGCTTAACATAGGGCTTTTGTTCCCACAGCTCTGTTCCTCACCTCCTTGGGCCTGTCTCATCCTCTCCCCACCTCCCCTTCCTGGGTTCGGGAGTCTGATCTCTTTCCACCTTGTTGATGTTCTTGTGTCTGCCGTGTTGAATACCCTAAGCCAGCTGACCTGCAAACTCCCAGGCAGCCTCTCCTGTTTCCACCTCCCATCTCAGGACAGGCATGCTGGGATTGAGGATGCACACAGACACATCCAGGTTTGGGTTTTTTTTTTTTTTAAAAAATATGTTTTCTAAAAACTTCATTTATGTGTATGCATGTGTGTCTGTGTGTAGATGTCACGTGTGTGCAGGTATGTACAGGGGCCAGAAGAGGGTGCTGGATCCCAGCAGTTGTAAGTCACCAGTGTGGCCCTAGGGACTGAACTCAGCTCCCTGGAAGAGCAGCGAACACCCTCAACCACTCAGCCATCTCTTCAGGCTCACACAAGTAGCTTTTTCATGTGGGTTCTGGGATCGAATTCAAGTCATAAGGCTGGCAGGGCGGGGGCATTTACCCACCGAGCCACCTCACTGCCCCGTCCCCCCAGTTTCTCCAACTTGTTTAGTTTTCCAGCCTTTAATCCTGCCCATCGTGGTTTCAGACTCTGTTCCGCCATCTTCTTACTATGCTGGTCTTTCCGTTTGCTTCACATTTCTCCAGGTGGGCTGTCAACTTAAACAACACAGAGGCTACGGCTTATTTTCTTGTGAACACTCCCCTTATTGTATTCATCGGCTGCTTTTTATTTTTCAAGAATTCTTCCTTGCCTCCAGGAAAAAAAAATGATGTTTATTAAAGATTCTACAGGAATATTTTCTTAAATCTCAGTTGTCATATCCATGACCATAAACTTACAGAAGTCCGTGGTCAAAGTTACCAAGCAGATAATAAACACTTCAGAGTAAAACCAATCTAAATTAGGAACAATAAATTAGGGGGGATGGTTTTTAATATTGGGTTTTTAGTCCCCCATGCACATCATTTTATTTAATATTCACAAGGGTCTTAGATGCACAGTAGCATAGGTACAGCCTCATTTTACTGAGGAGGGAAATGAAATTCTGAGGTCCCTGGCATGAAGACAGACCCTGCCCTCCCCACTGTTACATCCTGCTGGCCAGATCTTGCTAGCCTCTGCCCAGGTGTCGGGCTAACTACACACAGGCCCGTGTGGGCCAGTCTGAGCTCACTGCCAGCACCATCCTGACCCTGGTGAAAATGAAACCCTCTACTCTCTGCTTTCTGAGAGGATGCAGAAGGTCATTTTCAATTCCCCGACCTCTGTGGGAGAACTGGGCTGAAAGTTGTCTCCTGGGAAAGCCACCTCTGAGACCGTCCTGGGTACCACCCAGACAGAAAACCTGGGGTGTGCTGTAGGGTGATGGCATAAAGCATTGCCTAGACTACCCACGGATCCACTGTTGATTTAGAGGAGGGGGAAGGGAGGGAGGGAGGGAGGGAGGGAGGGAAGGAGGGAAGGAGGGAAGGAGGGAAGGAGGGA